GATTAGTTTACAGTAAGAGTAAACAACAGAACAATGTCTTGAAACTCTTATTTACTTTATAACCTTCTTTTCTCCTTAGGAAAAAAAGATTATTCCAGGTAAAGTCGGAGGTGAAGTGGTCAGGGAATCTTACGCACTTGAGATACAAGAGAGATTTCTTTTCTTGACCCAATGCTCCTTAACCAAAAAGTGACACAAAGCAGGCCCTGGAAATGAAGAATGGGAAGGGGCCACAGCCACCTCTCTAACAAGTCAGCCACCTCCAAGTCTGGTGTCTGCAGAATGCTATGTGACAAGAAAGGTTGACAGCACACACAAGTTGTTTCCACCAGAGGGAAGGAAACGTGACCTACAGACCACATGACAGAGGCAAAACCATAGGGAAGCAGGGAGGAAATCTCAAGTTGACAGTACGTTCCCACTAAGTGTCACTTGGGACAGCGACCTTTAGAGGAAAAAAGTTAAATCTTAAATATATAGGAAACACATTTTATAAACAAATAGCTACTGATATTCTCAAACTGAGGGTCTGCTCTTCGCATCCCACGTGCCAAATCAGTTTTACTCTTAAACTACAACTGTTTTCTCGTTTTGCTCTTCTGAGAGAGTAGTTAAGATACAGAGGCAGAGCAGACAACCTAGGTTTGCAACTCAGCACCCCCCACCCCTTGCAAGCTGTGTGACTCTGGGCAAGCTTCTTAACTTCCCTCTGCGTCAGTGTCCTCATCTGTAGGATGGGGACAGCAAGACTCTTTCACTCAGAGGACACTGTGCAAATTGAATGAGATACATGTAAGGAATTAGGAACAGTGCCTGATACACAATAAGGGCTAAATGTTGACTACTCTGTCTTCCTCCTAGACCATCTAATCCTAAATGTCCCCATTTATGGGTACATCTGCTATGTGAATCATTTTCCTGTTCTGTGTTTCCCACGCTCCTCTGGAATAAAAAAAAAAAAAAATCAACCTGTTAAAAATTTGTCTGAAAAGGTCATTCTACCACTTGGTAAAGGGAGACACCCAAAGAGGTATCCACCTCTTCTTAACAAGCCAGGTGAGGGGCTCCTGGCTGGCTCAGTTGGCAGAATATGTGACTCCCAATCTCAGGGTCATGAGTTCAAGCCCCATGTTAGGCTACTTAAAATAAAAAAATGAAAAATGAAACATTTTTAAAAAACAAGCCAGGGGAGGACCAGATCCAAAAGGCAAAGCATCATTCCTCTACTCTGGGAGACAGCCTGTAAGAGTGGGAGCTGAGGTTTACCTCATCTCCTATTATCAGAACCCCTAGGGTACCCCTTATCCCCACTCCCACCCACAACAGAGAACCACTGCCCTAACTGATGAGAAAAGAAATCAAAGAGGAAACAGCTCTGTTATCTTCTCCCACACCTCACAACTGACTTGACACACCGGTGAGTCACACGCTGTGGCCATGGTATCCCCTGGATTACGCTCCTATAAACAAACAAGGAAACCCAAAACGGACACCACGCATGGAGCAGGGCTCCTGATCTGTGCCTTCCACCAACCTCTCAGCCATCTGGCCAGGCTCAGAGACCCCGTCTTAGAAGACAGGGTTGAAAACACAACATAAAGTACAGAAGACTCGGAGGAAACCGACTGTATTGCAATGCAGCTATGAAAACTTGCAGAAAGTCTGTGATAGAAGAGCTTATCAATGCATTAAATAACAAGATCGACCAGCACACCTTACAACGAAGGTAATTTCAGAGCCGTGACGAGTAGAGGTATTTCAAACCATCTCCACCGCAGCAGGACATGAAAATCTTCATTTCTAGCGGTGATGAAGCCAGAGGGCCTGCTGATACCACCGAGCTTTGTTTTCTGGGTTCACCGTGAAAGAAAACACTGCATTTCAGTTGGAAATCAGTGAAAATAAAGACGCCATGTCATTTCTTTCTTTACAAGTTCACAGAATCCCCAATTTCCCTCTACAGACTCCTCAGAGGTCCTAGGACCTCCATTTGAAAGCCATGCTGAGGAGCGTGCTCTATTTAAGAGTTTTCCCCAATCATTCATTTAATCTACAGTTAGCAAATACCCGCTTTGCTCTAAGCACAAGTAACACAGAAGAAAAATACAAAATTAACGTAAGACTTGGGGGCAACCATGCCCTAAGAACTATCAGAGTTTCCGCTCAGCTTCCTCTAATTTTGGCATAATTTTGTTATCCACTGCCAAATGCATAACCAAAAACGGAGTGCACAAACAGAAATGAGCCACAGCGTCTGCTCAAGTCTACTGTTTGCAAGTATTTCAGAAGCTGGAGGTCAGTGCTATGGAAGAAATACAGGAGCCCACCATGCTTCCACTTCCTCGATAACCAAACCAGCCCTGCCCAGACTGCAGACACTGCACAGGGATGAAAGGAGCAATTCATGTGAAAGTTCTCCGAGAATACTGAAGTCCTGCCTGTGGATGGTTCCTGTTACACCGTGACTGTAAGCGATTCACCCGTGCAGGGACCCAGGAGCCTCCCACAGCAGAAAGGGCCATACAGGGTCCCGCAGAATCACAGGACGATCTCTTAAGGAAGACGAAGTAACACACGGGCATTTGCGGGGAGGAAAGAACAAAAAAAAAAAAAAAAAGAAAAACAAACAAAGAAAACCTGTCCTGCTGTGAATTCTACCATGAAGCAGTCTGAAGGAACCAAAGACAGAACTTGCCAAGGACGTGACTCTGGACACAGTTTTCTATCCAACACCACATCTCTTGGTGTAACAGATACCGTGAGTCAACAAAAGGGACCAGCAAAGAGCCTCCTATTCACTGCCAGACACGTCAGAAAGTCTAAAGCTCCACTGGGAACACTGGTACAAGTCTAACATGTTTCATATTTGCCCGGGTGTGGATTATTCTATTTTTATTCCAACTGAAACTGATTACCTGCCGTGTTCATACACCTGATTTGTCTCAGGTATAAACACACAGGTCAGTCTAAACAAAATTCCCTTCTCATTGACATCTAAGAGAGAAAATGAGAAATAGCCCCAGACACATTCTAAAAGAGAAACTTCTAGTTCCAACTTGTTTATTATAAATGATTTCCCAAATTCAAGAACACCAGAGATCACTCTGTATTGAGACAATAATTACAGAAAACTTATGGACATTAGAAGCTGGTTTTGAACGAAGTTACCATCAAGTAGAAGCAGGATTGCTATACTTTTTCTTTTTAAAGGTGATACAATGATACACAGGTATGTAAATGATCTCACTGCCAAAGTGACATCACTAACTCAGACAAGGTTAAAGTTAACTTGAATTTTAAAGTCAGAGGTGTCAAGACAATGGAGAGCTGGGTCTGTCCTACCAACTTCATTGGGCTGTGTTGAATTTCTAAAGTGTAAAATGATTTCTACAGAGGTGCCTCTTGAATGAACATTAGAAACCTCATAAGCATGTGCTTTTTTTTTTTTTTAAATTATCACATGTTTTTCAAATCTGCAATATCGAGTTTCACACCCTTGTAACCACACGCTGCCAGGGGCGTGGGGAGAGGGGGGGAACCCACGTGGTATACTGTTCACCCTACCAGGTATCAACTCTGCAGCCCTAGGACATGACGGGTTTGTTGTAGGAGCAGCCTTTGGATTTTCCTGAATAACCAGCTTACTGGGCTCTCACACAGAAATCGTTAGTCTTGGAAAACCAAGTTCACAGATACAGGGAATACACTGGTAGTTGCCAGAGGCAGAGCTAGGAGCTGGGGGGTGAGGGGGGGAGGCAGGAAAAACAGGTGAAGGGGGTCAACAGGTAAAAACTTCCAGCTATGGGGCACCTGTGTGGCTCAGTGGGTTAAGCCTCTGCCTTCAGCTCAGGTCATGATCTCAGGGTCCTGGGATCAAGCCCCATATTGGGGGGGGGGGGTCTCTGCTCTGCACGGAGCCTGCTTCCCCCCCACACTCTGCCTGCTGCTCTGCCTACTTGTGATCTCTGTCTGTCAAATAAATAAATAAAATCTTAAAAAAAAAAACTTCCAGGGGCGCCTGGGTGGCTCAGTGGGTTAAAGCCTCTGCCTTCAGCTCAGGTCATGATCCCAGCGTCCCGGGATGGAGCCCCACATCCCACATCCGGGCTCTCTGCTCAGCAGGGAACCTGCTCCCCCCCCACCACCTGCCTCTCTGCCTACTTGTGATCTCTGTCTGTCAAATAAATAAAATCTTTAAAAAACAAAACAAAACAAAACAAAAAACAACTTCCAGTTATAATATATTTATAAAATAAATATGTCACGGGAATGTAATGCACAGCATGATGACCACAGTTAATAATACCATATTGCATATTTGAACTTGCTAAGAGAGTAGATCTTAAAAGTTCTCACTATGAGAAAAAAAATTTTTTTTTCTAACTATGTATGGGGACAGATGTTAACAAGACAAGGATTCATTCATTCATTTTGCAGTATAGACAAATATCAAGTCATTATGTTGTACAACTGAAATTAATATAATGTTATATGTCAATTATACCCCAATTTAAAAATTTAAAAAAAAGAAGGAAAATGCTCAACCTTGGTATACATGTCTTGCTATATCATATAAATAATGCTACACAGCCAAGATGTTCCCAATGCCTTTGGTTTAAATGCAAACTCCTTCCCAGGGAGAGTTTCTACAGACTCACATGGTATTTTGGTAAAAGGCAGGAAATGGGAGTATTTTCAAATTCTTCTGTACAGTTAAGAGAAAACTGGTTCAAATGAAAATTCATACCTAGTCCCCACCACCCTAAAATTTCTATTCAGAACACTCAAAATCAAGGCCTTGTGCATGGCTAAACCCTACAGCCACATTGCTCGGCACACCCTACCACGAACGGCAAGCCATAAGACCTGCTAAACAGCATGAGGTCCCACGTGGGGCCCCGGCTAAGGACTACCGGCCGTCACAGTGCTGTCACCAGATGAAAGGGAACTACTCAAAAAAGAAAAGAAAAAAGAAAAAGAAAAGAAAGGGAACTACTCACGGAAGTACTTCAGCGTCTCTTCGATTTGCTCGGTTGTGAGGTCAATGTTGGCATCTGGAGAAATGAGGGGTGTATGGAGCCAGTCGTCGTGGTCATAACCGTAGATGGTGTCGGCTCTTAACTTATAATGGGGCAGCTGCTCCTCCAGCAGGCTGATGATCTCGACTTCCGGAAGATCGGTGCTGTTGCACACGTCTACAGAGAAGAAGACAGGGAAATGAGAGCCCAGAACTGGCTCTGGCCTTGCGGCTGCTAGCCCCTCACATTATGGTCCCAACAGGTGTCTTCACCTACTTACCCACAGCAGGGCAAGGCCAGATTTGGCCACCTCAGGGGCCCTCTTCCAATTTAAATTCTACTCTCAAAACATACAAGACCTACTTGAGACAGTTCCTATACTGTTTTTAGCAGCTCACTTCCTTCAAAGTGAAGCCACAACTCTTGGGCTTTCTGGGCTCAGTCAGTCTTCCCAACCCTTTCTGGGACCCTTCTCTTTCAAACACTCTACCTGTAAGCCAAACCTGCTACAATTTCACCATTATGTCTAACTGCCGCCTGCTTCTCTTACCACTCAAACCATCCCCCATCTGGGATTTTTGCCTTCGTTTAATTCACTCAACTGTTCATCTACCTGTATTTCTTTCCATTCATCCATCCTAATATATCCTGAGTCTCAGAGACACAGGAGATGCACCAGTCAACCCAAATGTCATGGTCCTGCTCTCACAATGCTTGTGTTCTTGTGGGGCTTCCAACCATTAAGGCAACAAGTGCCCCTCCTTTGAGACAGAGGCTAGATCTTCCCGGATATGTTGGTGTTTTGAACACTTCAAGAAGAATTAACCTCTCTCCTCCCTTCCATATTCCCACAGTGTTTTGTTAGATATTCTGTTAGGTTCTGTCTCCTGGGTATTTTAGTATCCAACCTGTCCCCCTGGGAGATGGCCAATTTCCACCACTGGTTTTTCTCAATCCACCACCTGTACCCCTCCTAGGTCCTGGCCCAGACTGCGCTCAAGGGGTGCACCGCAACGCCTGTGAAGGTCCATCGATCCCTACCAAGCCCATTAAAGAGGCCTCGTAATTAAACAGTAAACACAACAACACAGCCAGCGTACCCAGGACAAGACCAGTCTTCCTCCACTTCTCTACCGCGAAGAAGAATGAATTAAATAAATGCTAATGGATGAGCCTTGATTATCTCTTGATTATCTCTCAACTAATTCTGACACAGTGACCATACTGGCCCAATTCACAGACAATATTGGTGACCCATGACGGCAAACGGCAGATGCGAGCAGTGGTGGTCTTGTGAACCCACAAAGAAACCGGTCTTTCCTCCTAGATCAGGCTCTCTGCTCAGCGGGGAGCCTGCTGCCCTCTCTCTGCCTGCCTCTCTGCCTACATGTGATCTCTCTCTCTCTGTCAAATAAATAAATAAAATCTAAAAAAAAAAAAAAGACTACAATCAGAGCAATTCTTAAGAAGTTTATTGCACAAAGTTCTTGCCTTGAAGTAGTAAACAAAGGCAGGGGCCTGGGTCAAGGTGGAGGGCAGAACATGGGACTCCGCCTCCCGTCCCTCTCCAAAGTGCAGGAAGGGGCAGGAAAAAATCCTCTGGAGATACTGAAACCACACAAGGTCAAGGTGAAGTAAGGAAGAGATGCTGACAAGAGATCATTCTTATGAGTCATTCTTAGGACATGGAAGGTGGCATCAAAGGAAAGGAGAGAGGCCCAGCCTGAACACAAAGGAAATGAGTGGCACAAAGAATGGGAGCAAAGCAAGCTGGAAAGGGGAGGTGGAAGGAGCAGGAAGGGCCCAGGGCGGGGCCTCGGGATTCACCGGGGAACCAAGGCCAGCAGAGCAGGGAAGACCAGTCCCTTTGCTGCTCTTGGGGCTGAACCAAAGCAAAGGTGGCAGCAGGGTGTGTCTACGGGGCCACTCACACTGGAGGACAATATGGAGCCTCCTGTGCCCACAACAACGGCTATTCCAGAGACTTACCAAAATCCTTCTGTCCTTCCTGTTTAAGGCAACACGGCAGGCAAAAAAAAAATACAGAATCACAGGTCAAGGAAGCGTTTGGTGACCCAGTGTCGCCCTCTGGGCAAGAGCCCTCAGAAAGCACCTGTCAGACTCCCTCCACCTCCTACCACCCCCCCAACACCCCACCCAGTCTTACTCAATTCACTATGCAAAGCTTTACCACAGAACATTTCAACTCAGGAAGTCAGTGCGGTTTTTCAAGCACTGAGGAAAGAGAAGAAACTAAGTACAAAGTGAAGACATTTGAAATTTTCCTTGGAGCTTTAGGGACTGGAGGGGGACAACATCTGAACACTCAGATTCTTGGCTTCGTGTGGGAAATGTCGCTGCAAGCGCTCTTGGCATTTCAGCCAGCTGAAAACCAGACCAGAGCTGCTCTGCCACTTAGCAAAGGTCTGCCGCAAACAGAAGGGGCCTCCTCCCTGAGGCCAGTGCCAACAGCCCAAGCTCAAGACAGATGTCTCCTACTTCTTCTCACCTCCCGCCAACAACAAAATGCCACTCAAGAGGCTCAAGTAGGGCACGTAACTAAGCAAGTATTTCCTCCCCTCATAATCAAGTGAAGAGTAAGTTCTCACAAAGCTCATCTTGGGGAGAGACTTCATGGTTAAAAAACGGCGGCCTTGCAGCTGAGGGGACACAGGGTCAAGGAGGGCTGACACCTGACTGGCAGCCTCTTGTAACTGAACCCAGATGCGCTCCAGCGCCAGCCTATGCCGAGGACCGACATATTCCTGCATGACTCACCCTCCCAACAGCCTAGAGTCTTCTGGTGTCACTGCTTTGGGTGCTAGGGAAGGCAACCATCTAAAGCAGAAGTCCCTTCTAAGAATACCGGGTCACTTCTGAGCATGTTGGCAGCTGCTCAGACTGAGGCTTGACCTGCCCTTCTACATTTCCAGGACTGAAGATCAACTTATTTACAGTGCGGGTCTTGATGACCAGGAGAGGTCGTTTCCCTTGGAGCACATGATGACTGGCAAGATAAAGTATCAAAAAGTGAGACTGTGCCAAAATGCCTCTTTTAAAAAAACAAAAAAATCAGGTGCCTGTGTGGCTCAGTTGGTTAAGCAACTGCCTTTGGCTCAGGTCATGATCCTGGAGTCCCAGGGTCGAGCCCCGCATAGGGCTCCCAGCTCCGTGGGGAGTCTCCTTCTCCCTCTGACCTTCTCCCCTCTCGTGCTCTCTCTCTCATTCTCTCTCAAATAAATAAATAAAATCTTTAAAAACAAACAAACAATTCTGTGTATTTGATTTTGCCATAACATGACCAGCCATATAAACATAGCAAGTTTTCAGCCGCCTGGAAGGTCCAGAGAATCAGAGCACAGGGAAGGACTGCAGAGACCCAGGGAGCATTCCTTAAACTTGGCAGCAGGGTGAAGAGGGGAACACCACATCTGCCCCACAGAGAAGACATACTCAAGGCCTGAGGTTGGGTACACATAGCAGGAGAGCCTTCTGGAATTCTCCAGGAATGCCTGCAGTGTTGCAGGCCCCAAGCCAGCTGCGTGCAGGGCACTCTGAACCTGCCAGCAACCTGGGACAGAGAATATCTGCCCTGATCAACAGAGGAGGAAGCAGAGATTCACAGGGGGTGTGGAATATCTTGTTGGTCAAGGCCGTGCAGCTAAGTGGCAGCTCCTGCATGAGAAGCCTCAGCTGTCTGACCAAAAGCTGTGACCCTCCCTCTGCCACCAGCAGTTCGTCCCTCCCAGGCGGGCGCACAGAAATGCTGGGGAACTCCCAGGATATTCCGATCAGGAAGTTTTTGCTCTAAGCAGGGAGATGGCTTCATAAGCATGACAGGGATGTGCAATTAAGCACACTGACCAATGAGGGAGGCATCAGAGTGATTTTCCCTCCTAGAGCCCAGGAAGTGGAGTAGAGAAGTGAAGGAACTTGTCTGCAGAACCAGGGAGAGTCAGGGGCGCAAGAAGGATGGCCCTGCCCCCTCTCCTGGGGCTTACTCAAGCTGATGAGGTCAAAGGACACTTGTTAGCCCAGCCTGGAGGAAAAGACCCCTTTATACTCTTGACTGTCATCATTTCTGCACAGCTCCAACTCACATTTTTTTTTTTTTTAAGATTTTATGTATTTATCTGAGAGAGAGAACATGGGCAGGCAGGGGGTGCAAAGGGGGAGGGAGAGAGAGAAGCAGACTCCCGGCTGAGTGTAAAGCCCAATGACATGTGGCTTGATCTCAGGACCCCGAGATTGTGACCTGAGCCGAAACCAAGAACTGGATGCTTATTGCACTACTGGGTATTTACCCCAAAGATACACATGTAGTGAAAAGAAGGGCCATATGTATCCTAATGTTCATAGCAGCAATGTCACAATAGCCAAACTGTGGAAAGAGCCAAGATGCCCTTCAATGGATGAATGGATAAAGAATATATGGTCCATATATACAATGGAGTATTATGCCTCGATCAGAAAGGATGAATACCCAACTTTTGTATCAACATGGATGGGACTAGAGGAGATTATGCTGAGTGAAATAAGTCAAGCAGAGAGTCAGTTATCATATGGTTTCACTTACTTGTGGAGCATAAGGAATAATATGGAGGACATTAGGAGAAGGAAAAAGTGAAGGGGGGGAAATCCGAGGGGGAGATGAAGCATGAGAGACTATGGACACCAAGAAACAAAGTGAGGGTTTTGGAAGGGGGCCTGGGGGGATGGATGAGCCTGGTGGTGGGTATTATGGAGGGCACATATTGCATGGAGCACTGGGTGTGGTGCATAAACAATGAATCTTGGAACACTGAAAAAATAAAATAAAATTTAAAAAAAAAGAGAATTGGATGCTTAACCAACTAAGCTACCCAGGCGGCCCCCAACTCACATTATTAAGAACTATAAAAATGTGTTCTCAGATAAACCTCAAATAAAGGGCATCGGCCTGCAGATTGAACTCACACCCCAAGAGGTCCCTGGCTTCTGGGAGATGTGCAGCAACCACACAGTCCGGAACCACCAACATCCAGCGTGTCAAACCATCAGAAGGCCGGGCTCACTCAGTCAGGGCGGATCTCCCCCTTCCCCAGTTACTACAATGGCCCCAAGGTTGCAGGCCACACTGCTGCTAGGGCCATCTGAGGAAAGGTGCTTTTTAAAAACATGGTACTGCCCTGCTCTAA